GCCTTGCTTTATGGCCTAACATATGGTCTATCATGGAAAAAGTTCCATGTGCACTGGAGAAGAATGTATATTGTGCTGCTGTTGGGTGAAGTTCTTAACATTTTAAAACTTGCTCAGTTTTTTTTTTTTTAACTTTTTATTGTGATCTGGGTAAAATTTCACAAAGCAGATTTGTTTTACATTCAACAGTTCATGTGTACGTTTTGTTTTGTGGTAACTGGGTTATATTTCCTGATGTGTATGTAACATCTCACCTCCCACTTCCCTCCCTGTGGTTACCTTTTTCCTGTGTCCTTCCCTATGCATTCCTGCCTCCCTACATTTCTGCCTGTGCAAATGCTGCCCTTCTGATCTCCCATGGTTGATTGTTCTCAGGAGTACATTCACCTGGAGCAGTGTTCAGCTTCTGGGCCTGTCTGTTTGGCTGAGAGTTAAGCCACAGGAGTGAGAGCAATTCCAGGCCCAAAGGGTTTTACTAGTCTCTTTCAGATCAGTAAGCCTGGTCCTTGTTACAATTTTGACTTTTGTTCCACGTTTTTCTCCTCTGTATAGGATCTCCAATTTTGATTCCTTTCCGAGTGGTTGGCATTGGTAGCTGGGCATCATCTAGTCCTTCTGGTCTCAGCATTGTGAATGCTAAGGTTCCTGTGGTCCGTTTGACCCTTGGACTAATTGTTTCCATATGACTTTAGTTTTCTTCACTCTCTTGGCTTCAGACGAGGGGAGACCAATAGTTGCATATTAGGTGGCTGTTCGAAAGCTTTTAAGACCCCAGTTGCTGCTCACCAAAGTAGGATGTAGAACAAAAGTTTTATGTCCCATGTTGTGCCATATGTGGTTGATGTCCCCCATTGCCTCCAGTTTTTGATCTGTGTGTGACACATGTGCCACTTTGTACCTTTGTGGAAATGTGTTTTTATGGAACATACTTAAATTAATATAAAATAAAACTTTTTATATGGCTAGAAAGGTGTCACTTAGAACAGCCGTAGGCACTTATTCTGTGAAGGGCCAGATTCTTTTAGCCTAAAAAAAATGATCCCCCTATTTGCAACTTCTGAACTCTGTTGTTGTATGAAAGCAGCCATAGGTAACACATAAGTGAATGAATATGGCTGTGTTCCAGTAAAACTTTATGAACACTGAAATTTGAATATCCTAATTTTTACGTCAGGAAGTACCATTGTTTTTATTTTTTCCAGCCGTTTAAAAAATGTAAAAACCATTCTTAGCTTGTGGGCTATACAAAAATGGGCAATGGGCTGGATTTTGCCAACCTCTCATCTATGAGATTTCATGTAAAATAAAGCAGTCTTCAAAGAGCCGTGGTGGCACAATTGTTAAGCAGCTCAGTTGCTATCCAAAAGATTGGTGGTTCAAACCCACCAGTGGCTCTACAGGAGAATAGATCTGGTGATCTGCTCCAGAAAAGTGTTGTATGTCATGCATTGGCTTCCAGCTCATATAGTGACCCTGTAGGTTATAGTCTAGAAAACCCTATGGGGCAGTTCTTCTCTGAGTCGGAATCTATTTCAAAGGCACACAACAATGGCGCAGTCTTCAGCAAGATTATTTGTATGCTGGTTATTTCATTTGCATTAAAAAGCTAATATACCCCAACAAGTGAAAATTTGCGAGGATGCTACGCTTTAAGAAGAATTGCCCTTTTCTATTAACCTGTAAGGAGCTCTGATGGCCTAGTGATTAAAGCATTTGGCTGGTAACCAAAAGGTCAGTGGTTTGAATCCACTGTCTGCTTTACAGGAGAAAAATGAGACAGTTTGCTCCTATAAAGATTTATAGCCTTAGAAACCCTATGGGGCAGTTCTACTCTGCCCTGAGGATTGCTGCGAGTTGGAATCGACTTGATAGCAGTGAGCAGGTTGTTAAGCTGCATCTTTGGCCATAGCACAAATTGAGAACCATTCATCTTCATGTATATTAGAGTCAGACTGCAGTTGATCTAATTTTGCTATGTACAAATGACTTAGAAATGCTTGATTGTAATAGAAACAGACCAGTTAACCTGGACATGTTGGTTGATACTTGAAAAGAGGTTTGCCTCTGGAAGGAAAATTTAGTTATTCATTATCTTTTGTGAAATTGGATATTAGTACAGGTATTTTTCCTGCCCCAAATTGGAGCTTTTTTAAAAAAATAAGAGAGTGGCATGACTTCTCAAGATAATAAAAAACAAACTCACCGCCATGGAGTTGATTCTGACTCATAGTGACCCCCCCCCCCATTGGGTTTCCAAGGTTGTAGATCTTTATAGTAGATTGCCTCATCTTCCTTCTGCAGAGCAGCTGGTAAGTTTGAACCACCGACCTTTTGGTTAGCAGCTAGTGCCTTAACCAGTACACACCACCGCCACACTTCAAGGTAATACACACCACTTTCTTAAGGTAATACTGAGCATTTAATACCAAATTAAACTTGTTCATTTGATTCAGCTCTCCAGTTTATCCTTCCTCTTCATGTTACTATCTTTCCTTACTGTGAAGCCAGCTTGCTGTCTCTGTCATTAAATGGGCTTCTGACATTATCCACATCATGCTAGATAACTTTTTGCATGCTTGTTTTTGTAAGCTCCTTTACAGCAATGAATGGGTCATCTGTAAATATACCACTGGGCCAGAGCTTAATAGATAACCGGAAGTAAGTGGGTTGTTCATTTCTGCACTTTTGTATTAATTTTTGAGTGTCTATCTTTATCTTGCAGTATGTTCATGCTGATGCTCCTACCAATAAAACACTGGCTGGTCTTGTGGTACAACTTCTCCAGTTCCAGGAAGATGCCTTTGGGAAGCATGTCACCAATCCAGCCTTCACCAAACTCCCTGTAAGTATATCAGTATAACACTGGTCTATCTTTAGTCTCTGTTCTCTTGGGTGCAGCCTACAGGTATTTCTTTTGCTGCTACGAGCTGATGTTGTTGTTTGTTGTTGTTATGTGCTGTCGAGTCCTACCTGACTCATAGCAACCCGTCCTTGGGTTTCCGAGGCAGTATCACTAAGGAAGTAGATTGTCCCATCTTCCTTCCGAGGAGTGGCTGGTGGGTTTGAACCACCCATAGAATTAAGGAAGAAAGGAGACATCTCAACAAAATTTTGGCTACAGAATATTATGTTTTTTTTTTTTAATTGTAGGAATCTTTTTTTTTTTTCCAGGAATCAGCATTGCATTAAGCATATCAGTAATTACTATGTAGATGTAACTGTTGGCATTTGACTAGGTTGTGATTCCCCACAGCCACCAGTATACCAAGTTGCCTTCATTCTTCTGATTTAGGTGTCATGACTATAATACTATTTCTTGAAGTTTTTATGTTTTGTAGGTGGGATGTTGTTCTGAGCTTGTTTGAGAATACATTATGCTGTCCTTAGAGTTGATATTTTGACTGATCATTTGGCTTAGTAAATAAATAATGGGTTTTATGTTCCTCCTTTTTGAAATCTGTAGGTTTTCTTTTTTTATATTTAATTTTATTCTTTTGTTATTGTTGCACAGCAAAACATATAACAGTTCAGTAGTTTCTACATACACAGTTCAGTGACACTACATTTCTTAGAGTTGTACGATGATTCTCACCCTCCTTTTCTAAGTTGTTCCTCCCCCATTAATAGAAACTCACTGTCCCCTGAGATTCCTAATGCTTGATTTTGTAGAGAGAAAAATCTCGTACTACCTATTATTTTTCCTTTTTTTACACTGATCTTAGAAATATTTTTGATCTTTGAAATTCAGAAATAAGTCTAATATCATGAACTAAAAATTCAATTATGTTTCTTTTAACTCAGAACATTTAGTCTGTTAGTCTTCTGTGCTATCCTGTACTCCTTTATTTATATTTTGACCTCTGATTATATAAACAGTAAATTTCCAGGAATAACTCGGCATGTTTTTTCTTATAATTTACATCTTCCGTTTGTCAGTGTCTAATCTTCTGCTATTTGCTGCTTCTATTGAATCAATTGGTAGACTTTAAAATCTCAGACCCTTCTGATTGGGTGTTCTTTTTCATCACTTTTTTTTCCCTCTCCCCTCTCTTTCTCTTTTTAAAAATATTTTTAAAATTTGTGTTTTTGATGACTCTTCTCTCTTATTTTTAACTCCCCATTCTCCCTGCCCCCATCCTCTGGTGCTATTAATCTTTCTGTTTGACTGTTGTAGGTATTTCGTATCAGTGGGATTATAAAATACTTGTCCTTTTGTATCTGACTTATTTCACTTAGCATAGTACTTTCAAGGTTCATTCATGTTGTATCAGAACTTAATTTCTCTTTATGATTGAATAACATTTAATTATATGGATATACCGTGTTTTGTTTATCCATTTGTCTGTTGATGGGTATTTGGGTTTTAGTTTTTTGCTCTCGTGAATAATGCTATAAGGAACTTTGATATACAGGTAGTCTGTATATACCTAAGAATAGAACGGCTGCATCCTTTGGCAATTTTAAATTTAAATTGAGTCTTCTGAAATTTATAATTGTTTTTTTATTGTGATTTGGGTAAAAGTTTACAACGTAAATTGGTTTTCCATATAGCAGTTATACACATTTTGTTTCATGACATGAACTGCAATTTTATAACATTATAACAGCACTCTTCCCACCTCCTCCCTATAGTTACCCCTTCCCTGTGTCCTCCTTTCCTATGCATTCCTGCTCCCTGAGCTATCTCCCTGTGCAAATACTGCCCTTCTGTTCTCCACTGATTGATCTTTCTAAGGAGTGCATCTACCTGATATAAATGTTCACCTTGTGTGCCTGTCTGTTGTTTGCCTGGAAGCCATGTAAATTTTATCTTTTTGAAGAACTACCATACTGTTTTCCACAATGGCTGGACCATTTTGCATTGCTACCACAGTGTATAAGGGTTCTAGTTCCTCTAGTCTTCATCAACTTGTTATTTTCTTTTTTTGTATACTAGACATCCTCCAGACCAAACCAGACTCGCTGCCATTGAGTTGGTACCAACTTATAGAGACTCCCATTGGGTTTCTGAGGCTATTAAACTTTATGGAAATATATTGCTCCAACTTCTTTCTGTGGAAGGAGCTCTGGTGGCATAGTGCCTAAGGCATTTGACTGCTAACCAGAAGGCTGGTGGTTCAAACCCACCAGCCACTCCTTGGAAGGAAGGTTGGGCAGTCAGTCTATTTCTGTAGAGATAACAGTTTTGGAAACCCAAGAAGGGGTCGCTGTGAGTTGGAAAACGGCTCAATGGCAGTGAGTTTGGTTTTTTGGTTTCTTTCTGTGGAACGGCGGCTGGTGGGTTTGAACCACTGACCTTCTGGTTAGCAGCTGAATGCCTTATCCACTATGCCACCATAGCTCCTTATTAGCCATCGAAGAGGGGTGAAGTGTTTGCTCACAGTGGGTTTGATTTGTATTTCCCTAATAACTAATGGTGTTGGGCATCTTTCCATGTGCTTCTTGGCCATTTGTACAACCTCTGGTTGCATAGTGCCTAAGGCATTTGACTGCTAACCAGAAGGCTGGTGGTTCAAACCCACCAGCCTCTCCTGGGAAGAAAGGTTGGGCAATCCACTTCTGTAGTGATACCGCCTTGGAAACCCAAGGAGGGGTCACTATGAGTTGAATCCAACTCAGTGGTAGTGAGTTTGGTTTGGTTTTGGTTTTCTTGGCCATTTGTATATTTTCTTTGGAGATATTTTTATTTAAGTCCTTTGCCCATTTTTTATTCATTTTCTGTTGTTGAGTTGTAGTTTTTTATACATTCTAGATACTGAATCTTTATCATATATACAAATTCCAAATACATTCTACCACTCTGTAGGTTTTCTTTTTTTTGGTCTTTCTTTTCTTGGTAATATTCTTTAATGCAAAAGAGTTTTTAATTTTAATGAGGACCAGTTTATTCTTTCTCTTATTGCTTGTACTTTTTGGGTATCTGAGAATCCATTGCCAAATACAGATTCCTGAGGATTTACCCCTCAGTTTTGTTCTAAGAGTTTTATGATTTTTAGCTCTTACATGTAGGTCTTCAGTCCATTGTTATTTAATTTTTGTATCTGGTGTGTTATTATTATTATTATATCTGGTGTATTAATTATTATTATTCTAATGCTTGTGGAAACCCAGTTGTCCTAGCACCATTTGTTTATGAGGCTATTCTTTGCCTGTAGAATGAATTTGGCTTCCTTGGTCATGTATGAGTTTATTTCTGGACTCCTAATTCTGTTTCATTAGGAGCTCTGGTAGCATAGTGGCTAAGTCACTTGCCTGCTAACCAGATGGCTGGCAGTTCAAACCCACCAGCCACTCCTCGGAAGGAAGGTTAGGCAATCCTACATCCGTAGTGATACTGCCTCGGAAACCCAAGGAGGGGTCGCTATGAGTCGGGGCCGACTCGACGGCACATAACAACAACAACAACAATTCTGTTTCATTAGGAGCTCTGGTAGCATAGTGCCTAAGGCACTTGACTGCTCACCAGAAGGCTGGCGGTTCAAACCCAACAGCCACTCCTCGGAAGGAAGGTTGGGCAATCCTACTGCCTCGGAAACCCAAGGAAGGGTCGCTATGAGTTGGGGCCGACTCGACGGCAAAACAACAACAACAACAATTCTGTTTCATTAGTCTGTTAGTTCTTAGGGGAATACCACATTATTTTGAATATTGGAGCTTTGCAGTAAGTTTTCCATTAGAAAGTATGAGTCTTGTTCTTTTTTTTTCCCCCAAGATTATTTTGGCTATTTGATGCCTCTACAAGTCCAAATGAATTTGAGGATTGGCATTTCCACTTTGCAAAAGAGAATGTTGGAATTTTGATAGGTATTGTATTGAATCTGTAGGTTGTATTGGGTAGTGGTGACATTTTAGTGGTATTGAGTCTTCTAATCTATGAACACAGGATTCTTTTTCATTTATTTAGGTCTTCTTGAATTTCTTCCAACAGTGTTTTGTAGTTACAGTGTACAAACCTTAAGAAAAGCCTGGCAATCTACTTCTGAAAAATTAACCACCGAAAACTCTCTGGAGCAAAATTCTGCTCTGACATGCATGAGATTGCCAAGAGTCAAAATCAACTCAGTGGCAACTAGTTTTATTTTATTCCTTTAGATTATATTGCAAATGTAATTATTTTCTTAATTTCCTTTTTAGGGTGTTCATTGCTGACGTATATGTTGTTGTTATATACTGTCGAGTAGATTTCAACTCACAGAGACCCTTCCTTGGGTTTCTGGGGCAGTATCAGTATGGAAGTAGATTGCCCCATCTTCCTTCTGAGGAGTAGCTGGTAGGTTTGAACTGCCAGCCTTTTGGTTAGCAGTCAAATGCTTTGGGCACTACCCCACCAGAGCTCCTCTGATGTACAAAAATCAATCTGATGCATATAGGCACGTTGTTTTTTGTACTAAAACTTTGGTATCTCTTAGTTTGTAAATGAAAATGTTGTTGTTGTTGTTATGTGCCGTCGAGTCGGCCCCGAGTCATAGCGACCCCTCCTTGGGTTTCCAAGGCAGTATCACTACAGAAGTAGGATTGCCCAGCATTCCTTCCGAGGAGTGGCTGGTGGGTTTGAACTGCCAGCCGTCTGGTTAGCAGGCAAGTGTCTTAGCCACTATGCTACCAGAGCTCCCGTAAATGAAAATAAGAAATAATAATGTCGGTTTACTGGTCTTTGTAAACATATTTACTTTGCTTATGGTACTTTTTGCCATCCAGATGTTTATTTTTATTCAGTCAAAAATATATTGATGGGTTTTTTAATCATAATTAGGAAATTTTTTGCTATTCCAGTGTTTTAAAGTAATTTCAGCCATGTTTTCTTCTACTTGTATGATTTCAATTTTTATACTTAACCCTGAT